ACTACATTTTGAAAATAATGAATAATGACGTAAAAGGGAAATAGAAAGAAAGAAAAAATAAAACAGGCATTACTGAAAATGATGAGTCTTTTTTTCACCTGCTAAAACAATTTCATGTTGGACATTCTGAAATGTCAAGAATGGGAAATTCCTTATGAGAAGTTATGTATACTGACCTAACATAGTCAAAATTTGGTAAAGTAATGCAAAGTTTGTGCTCTAGCGGCAAAATTACCACCTGTAATTTATCAACCCTGGCATAATACTTATAAACCCTGTTCAAATTGCATGTTGATTACGCGGTACCTTTTGAATGGTGTGTATTACTTGATTGACATCGACTGATTTTCAAAAGGGCTTGAATTATTTAAATGTAGAAGACCTACTTCTACTGTAAATTTTCTTCATGTAGTGTTTTCGAGATTTGAAGTTTCAGATATTATAGTGTCTGATCATGGCACGCAATTTACTTTGAGAGACTTTCAAAACATTTGCATTTAAATGCATTTGAACATATAACAACGCCGCCATACCACCCAAAATCAAATAGTCAGGGTTGATACGTTTTGTTGATACGTTCAAAAGGTCGTTAAAGAAGGCAAACGGAGAGGAGACGGAAGATGTAATGCTCTAACAATTTTTAAAAATTTATAAGCTGCCCCCCCACCCCAACGCTAATACTGCATCAGGGACGTCATCAGCGGAACGAATGTTCGATAGGAAATTTAAATCGGTGTTTGACAAATTACGGAAGGAAAATAGAAAATTGGCATAATACGAAATTAACGATAAAATCTTTCAAAGCCGGAGAAAAGTTTTTATACAAGATTTATAAGACAGGAAAGGAAAGTTGAGAAGATGGTGAATTAGTAAATCACATTGGTAAGGTGATGTATATGATACGTGTTCGAAATTGGTGACATAAAAGGTATTTAAATCAATTAAAACCAAGATATGCTAAGGAAATAAGAATCTAACAAAGGGATTTACCTGTGGAAGTGCTGTACGATACTCTTGACTTTCCAACCTCAATTATAATTACTAGAAAACACCGTATTAGTAAAATAAAAAGAAATCCAAATAATGACTAATGAGGTGGGGGGTCTTGTGTAGAAAAACTTTCGCTACACATAGACTCTTCCGTATCTTTTCTGAGATAAGGTATTGCAATTATGTACAATATTTTCATTGTTTTGACTGTTGTCCTTATCTTTGTTGCGGACACATTACTCAGTGGATAAAAGCGTTGGTTGAATCCAGTGATTTGATCCAATGAGTTGTGAATTGAATACTTGGCTGCATCAGAGATGAACAAAAACTTGGAAAGTTGAGTTAAAATGGAGATAACTAATATTGAGGAATGTCACGAGGAACTATAAGAATCTACCGTAGTGGACGAAATTAAGGGTTAGGTTCAGAATTCCAATAACCTGAAGAACACCGGGGCGTACAACGGTCGAAATGTCGTGAATATGACAAAAAAGATGAGGACATCAGATCAAACAATATAAATAGTGTAATTTCACTATGAACATCGGCAAATAGGACCAGGTGTTGCTAAGTGGATCATACGCATTGCCACACTAACTGTGCTATTCACTATTATTGTATTATTAATCCATATGATTAAAACCTTTCTTTACTAATCTTTTGTGCTAGTGTTTTCCTTGGAATATTATTAACCAGAACTGCCTGCATATATATGTATTATAACAGATATGTACATCTCATTAACTCTCTACAGCTTTTAATCATTGTTAATGACTTTGTAATAGATTTAATCAAGCAGAAATCATATAATAATAATAATAATAATAATAATAATAATAACATTAATAATAATAATGAGACGGAATACAACATTCAGTTATGTAGAACAAGATTTGAAAAGAATATTATAGGAGAGTGCGTTTGATACTAAAAAGCGAACTTAATTGGGTCAATAAAATGAAGGCTATCAACACCTTAGCTATACTCATAGGAACATACAGTTTAAACATTATTAAATGGAAGTTGAATGACATTAAAAGATTGGACACCAAGATCAGAAAATGCTTACCCAAATGAGAATACACCACCGGAAATCAAATGTTCTTAGGCTGTAAGTACTAATAGCTTTAGTGGGCCAAGGTTTAAACTAACCCTAAAAACTACAAGAATCGGATTGGAAGCATATCTCACAAAAACCAATGGCCCTACTTACAAATAGTAAAACACCAAATCCACTCCATCAACAAAGAAGCTGCACTCTTTAAAAAACAGTTTAAATTACCTGAACTTCTACCAACAAAAACCGCGAATACCATCTACGCTAAACGAGTAAGACAGAAAGCAAAACAAATTGGTCTAATGAAATTACAAAAAACTGGGAGGAGAAGGCGTTGCATAACAAATACCTAAAAAGAACGAAAGAAGTAGGTGGACCAACAATGACATAATCTGAGGAAAAAATAGAAATCGATTACATCCTATCACACCAGTTGGTCTAAAACTGACCGTATGTTGAAAAAAAGGGAAACTAAAGCGGTTGTTTCAATTAATTTGCACAAGTGTGTACAAGTTACCCAGAAGATTTCCCTACTAGGAACTTCCCATATACTAAGAAAAGTGCTATCAATTAAATGACAATTCTCCTATAGGTTATAAGGATCATAGTTTGGACCCGGATCTACAGGATGCAAAAGAGGAAATATAACATACACAAATAATAATAATAATAATAATAATAATGATAATAATAATAATAATGTGTTAGCCCAAAAGGCTGATTCTGTGATAAATATCCAGAAACAATTGATCATCTTGTATCAGGTTTCACGGTATTGACTCCCACTAAATATAAATCCGGCACTGAAATTTTTTACAGAAAGGTAACTGCAAGAAATTGGTATGAACACCATCCAGACCCGGTTACGGAGATAAGACTTGTAACATTTTATGGAACTTCACAATACACACAGACAGTACAATCATACCTAATCGCCCCTGACATCGTGATTAGAGACCACAAAGACAAAATGTGCTTTCTTATTGACATGGCAGTCCAAGCAGATTGCATTGTATCTTTGAAGATCTTCAAAAATTTATCAAAATACAAGGATCTTGAAATCGAAATTGCAGAAATGTGGCACACGAGAACAGCAACAATTCCAGATGTAGTTGGAGCCCACGGATTGATTGTAAAAGATTCCAATAGACTCACTGAAGAGATACAAATGATTTTTCTCACGAGTACAGCCTACAGCTTACGAAGGGCTTTATCTACGTAAAATATGTATAATATTTTTAAATTGCTCAGTGGAAAATGTCATGATGACAGTGGTGACCTTAGGTTTCTGGTCAGAATAAAAAAAAAATGAGTGCACACCATAAATCAAAAGAAATAATAATAATAATAATAATAATAATAATAATAATAATAATAATAATAATAATAATGAAACCTCTTAGGAATGACAAAAATAGTCCGGTAAGTGATGAAGAGGAAAATTGCATGATTCCTAAAATTACTATCCATGCATTAATTGCCATATATCTTACATTAATTTATACCACTACCACCAACAAAAACAACATCTATAATAATAATAATAATAGGTTTGAATATTATATAATAATAATTTTAAATATCACATAATGCAGCATATTTTCATAATTAAAATAACGGCATACTATACAGACATTAATATATTTTAATTAGACTGTCGTAGTAACTAATTAATATTACCAAAACTATTTTAATATAAACATATTTAAAAAAATAATACTATCGCCATTCCTTTATTCTAATAATGCATTTTAATAAAGATTTCCTCATACCAAACTAGAAAAGCGATTTAATAGTATGGTAATAACGATATTAACAACACTAAAATAATGTTCTTAATACTACTAATGATCGTGAGATGACGAGTTTTTGTTGCGAGAATAAGCAAATAAATTTAAAAAGAAAGGAACGTTAGTAAAAATAATTACAGTTTCTTCTAAGACATTAATATAATTTTACAATAATAACAGGGTCTTTAATGCTATTATAACAATTGTCTTAATACTGCCATAATAATGAAGCTCTATAATAACTTTAATAATTACACTGTTGACACGCCTATAATAATGCCCGCTAAATATTATTAAAATTATTACTATCAGTATACTATCATCATAACTTAATATTATCATCTTCACCAAATATTATCATTTTATTACTACCATAATAAGTACACTCTTAATTCTTCCATTATAATAACACTTTCAATAATTCCCTAATAACTGGTCTTAATATTTAATTATACTCTTACTATTTCCATAACAATTACTTCTTAATACTACGTAATAATTACACTTTTATTATAAGTGTAATAATTTTATTATAATCAATATTTATGCTTCATCCGCCAACATCTTTATATTCTCCAACAGGGATACAGGAAGACACTTACACACACACACCTACGCACACACCTACACACACACACACACACACACACACACACACACACACACACACACACACACACACACACACACACACACACACACTCGCGCGCGCGCGCGCAAGCCCATATATACGTGTGTGTGTTTTGTTTTATCGTTTTTATTGTATGCGTATATATATATGTGTGTGTGTGTATGTGTGCGTGCGTGTGTACGTGTATAAATTTTACTTGTATGTATAAGTTTTATCTTTTATAACTGAAGGGGCTTTAAAATGTGCTTAAAATTAATGAAATTTAAAATAACTTAGATCACGTTAAGTGACTCCTAACATAATAATTTAATTTTAAAATTTAAAATTACTAAAGCTTTTACATATTGTTACAATTCGTTCTAAACATGATATTAATATTTAAACTAAAATTATAACATTACTCAAAAAGTTAAATTAATCTGAACTTTCCTGCATTACAAAAGAATTAAAGACTTACTTATATCTAAATTTCAAGGAAACATTAAAAGTATATCAAATATATCAATGGAAACATACAGAGAATGACAGTGCTCTAATCAGAAAGAAATATACAGAGACAGATAGATAGATAGATAGATAGATAGATAGAGAGAGAGAGAGAGAGAGAGAGAAAGAGAGAGAGAGAGATAGCGTTAAATGTAAGTAAGAGAATAATTAAGAGAGGGAAAAACATGCATACATATACACAGGTTGAAATAACTTTATAAAAAAATATTATATACTTAATGCATGAAATGTTAATGTTACAAGCGCAATAATATTTTTAATCTTCCATTTTCAAGCTGAATCATGTTTAGAAAAAAGGGAGAAGTCTGATTTCAACTGACACACAATTTACATTTTTTGTCTGTTTATTCTTTTCATACAAGTGTTTTAAATATTAAAAATAAGAATAAAAACAGAAAATGCTAATTAGACAAGTGAAAGTCAACAAGATTTTTTATTCTTCAAAAGTTTTTATGAGAAACTTTAATTTATGTTCGTATATGAAAAAGTAATTATCAAAAGAGAAATATATAACCCTCAATATTTGAAATTTTTGTTAGAAAAATAATACAAAATTCTTATGTTGTGTGTTGTTTGTAATTATACATCTTTATATCTCTGCCATAAATCACATTGAGCGATGGGTAAATTGTGGCCATTTTATATCTTTAATTTCACGTATACGCGTTGTCTGATTCTGATTTTGTTGACTGCACTGTATAATAAGGTCAGTTGGACACCGTTTGTGGGCAAAAAAAAAAGCGCCATGACACAATTCACTTCACCAGAAATTTGGAAACGGCATGCTGTACCGCTTGGCATTCGCACCGGAAGCTCCAATATGAATTTGGGTGTCAATTTGAGGACAGTGCAGAGGATTCAGAAAGAGTTAGATGAGTCTAATGGTGATTACGAAAGTGTTTGGAATGACCAATAGTGATGGCGATGATATGCATCCATTCATCTTCCAACAGAGCTCCAGACTCAACACGGAGGCCTATATCAAATTACTTGAAGATATAGTGCTATCCTGAGTCAAGAGGGTAGATGTTTGAAAACCCTGCATGGCAACAGAATTCTTGCTACACAAGCAGGAGAAGCCAGTTGTGGCTGTCAGACAAATTCTACGACCACATCACCTCTTATATCTGGCCACCCAAACTGCAAGCCCCTTGATTATTACGTGTGGGGAACAGTTGAACGAGAGACCAACAAAACACCTAGTAACACTAAAGATGAACTGAAGGCTAGGATTATGGTAACATTCACCAACTTAAACAAGGAGATCGTCCAGAAGAGTTGTAGGAGATTCCGAATGTTGAAGCCAATTGTGGTTTAATTGAATAAATTTACGCTTTAGTACTTCAAAATATTCGTGAAATTTTGATAAATATATCTGTTAAAAAGAGATGTCACTGTTATTTTCAATATTGCGTAATTTAGACAACAATTCATCCATATATATATGTGTATGTGTGTATGTGTGTGTGTGCGTGTGCATGTATTTTAAGAAATGGATTAAACCCGACAATTTTTTTTTAATTATTCGTTTAAACGCTATTTTATAAATGGATACTCATATTTGAGTAGGTGATCTATTTTTATTTATTTATTAATCAGTATATTTATTTATTTACATCCTGAATATTTTGACCAGCCTTAAACCAACTCGACCACGTAGGACGTCTTGAGCAAACCAACCTAGAACAGTGCTTTTGAAACGCGCATCTTCCTCCCGATTATCGAAATAGACATATCTGCTCTGTTTCGAATGCTAACGTTAACAAAGACAATTTTTTAGGAAATGGATTAAATCCGACAGAGTTTTTAAAAATAAATATTTCTTTAAGCAATATTTTATAAATGGATACGGCGTCCCTTATGTGGTCGAGTTAGTTTAAAGCACATCAGATCTAATGAAGGTTTCCCCTATTGGACGCAGGTTCTAATCCTGCCGGAGTATGCATATTTTTCTGACAAGATTTCTCGAAATATTCAGGACGGTAGGTGTAAATAAGTAAATATACTGATTAATAAATAAATAAAAATATAGCATCTACTCAAATATGAATATCCATTCATAAAATAACGTTGAAGCAAATAAATTAGTTATATATATATATATATATATATATATATATATATATATATATATATATATATATATAATTGGCGAGAATGTTGAGAGAAGGAAAACCATGAAGGATAGTGTAAAAGCACATGATATATTACACACACACTGATAAAGAAATACATATATACGCATATATATCTGCGTGTGTGCATTTAGGTAGCAGTTCTTCTCTAGTATATGTTCCATTAAAAATGACTGACAAGGTACTTCTGTTATTTTTTATTGTATTTGAATAAATACATAGAGCTATATCTATATGTTAGTATGTGCGTGCGTGTGTGCTTATGTCCAACAGAGTGAAGGAAAAAAAATGATAGAGATGACAGGATAATAAAAAGAGAGAGAGAGGTGTGTGTGTGTGTGTGTGTGTGTGTGTGTGTGTGTGTGTGTGTGTGTGTGTGTGTGTGTGTGTGTGTGTGAGCCAAATTGAGTATAAAGAAAGTTGGACAGGACTGAAATGTCTAATTAAAGACAAACAGAACGAAGTCACATTTGTATGTTCCAAAGTACAGCAGCAGTCCCCATGTATACGCAGCAAAATATTTGGCTGAACCTTTACGAGAAACAAAAACAATTGTGCCATGGACTGTAAGAGTGAAAATCGCGCCATGACACACAGTGATTGATGGGCAGTGTTCTTGTGAGAATAACAGGCGCCTTATGTCCGGCTCACCTGATCCCTCGAACTCAAAAAGAAATGAGACGTCGACAAAGACAAGGGAAGAGGAGACAAGGAGAGAGCGAGAGGGATGGATTTTGGTAGAAAATGAGTGAGGAGAGGAAAGAAAGAGGAGAATTTTGTGAAAAAGAGAGTGGGGAATCAGTGGGAGTAAAGTAGAGAAGAAAAAAAAACGAACTGAGACATGGATAAAGAGAAGAAATAAAGAGAAATAGGAAATCGGGGAAGTGAGATGAAGAGATGAGAGAGGATAGAAATACAGGTGGATGAGAATAGATAGACATGAAAGACGAAGAAAGAAATATAGCCGGGGGAAAAGTAACTATGAAAAACTGAGAAAGAGAAGAACTTGACGAAAATATAGAGCGATATAGAGAGGGAAAGAGAAAAAAAAGAATGATCTATGCAACAAAGTTTAATGTTTTCTTAACAAAATGTTTTGTCGGGAGACTATATGCAGGTAAGATTAATGTCCAACGTCTTCGCGTCGGACAATGGACTTTGTTTTTACGATTAGTGTAAGTGGCTCCATACTTTCATTGGAGGTTAGACTTGTGAATAGAGACATAGTATGTGAAGTTCTTATGTACTTACCTTATAAAAATGACGTTATGATCTACATCATTATTCATGATCAGTCTAATGATCTAAATTTCCATAGTTTTAAATATAAATTATAGTACACTAAAAGTGAAAACAAATATGTTTTAATGTTTTTAGATGTGTAATTTTCCTAGTACACAAATTCATTCAGACTGTTGTCCTTATCTTGGAGTTGCCACATTTTTTTTTTCAATCCCTCTAGCTTTCTTTCAGTGCTTGTCGCATTCTATCATTATAATGTCGCTTGTGTTAGTTCCGCTCGATTAAATACGGGAAAAAAATAGAAGCAGTACAGAAATAAGCGGTAATCTTTGGCTATTAAAATAATAAAGCAAATATCAAAAAAGTAGGTTTTTAAACCTTTGTTTCTTAAGAGCTTCACAAATGCCGTGAATAAAATAATCACATTATTTCGCTATATGTGCTACTGGGCATTTCGCAATAGTTAATATTACAAAAAGAAACAATGACAAAGTATGCACTTGGTAATAGAAAGATATGAAAAATTGGGTATGCATGAGATGTAAGTTGTGCCATTAGATGTGTTTGAGCTATCGGGAAATAATCACAACGTAGTGGCGCAGCCAACCTCTGGTTAAAGGTATTTACATTACTGAAGCCGATGTATGACAATTAAAATTTATGAATATCCCGGGCCAACTCTCAGATATAACCAAGTTACATTAAGGCTCCGTGGTGCATACAGTAAAAACCTCTGAATTAGACCATTATCCTCTAATGCAATTAGGCAGTGTACTTACATTAAACATAATGTTTGTTCTTTCCTATCAAATACTCCCATGTGATGTTAATTTCTATCCTGGATCTACTGAGGGAGTTATCAGCACCTAGAATATGCAATTATTCTTTCAACTGGCTTATTCTCAAATAATTTTTATTTGATCTTAATCAATAAACTGTGTCATCTTGTTCATTAATAATAACTAGTTGGACACATGGTAGTTTTAATAGTGCTGATTATCCCTAATCTCATACTTTTCCTCTTTACATAAAGTTTTCCTATATTTTCACATTATCTCCTTTATCCATTCTAATCTTTGTTGATCATGCATGTTTTATTTAACCTATCTAGATCCGTGGAAATCTCACGGGTTTAACAACGAATATAATCCATTATTTAAATTCTCTTCTCGTCTCTTACTCTTTATTTGTATCTTCTCATTCTGATCCAGATTAACATAGAAGATTTGTTGCACGTTCATGATTTTATATTATGTAAAAATGGATTAATTTTATATATAAAAAAAATAATTTTTCGACTACATCCTTTGCTTTAATTCTTCTTCTATGTGCCGATCAAGACTCTCCACAACTTCCTTCAACGATCAAGACTCTCCACAGCTTCTTGTTCTTTGTAACTCTTAGTAAATTTTGTCTTTTCGCTTGCTCTATTAACACTAATTCTGCCAACCATTTGCACAAGTGTGTTAGGTAGGCTATATTCTGTGCCAAATTTTATAAGACATCTTTCCTTATTCTTTGCGCTAGAAATTTCAACTGTCCCTTTCTGATGGTAAGTACAAGTGTCTTTTTTTGTTTATTTTTCCATAAAGGATGTTAAATTTCTATTTTTACGCTTTTTCATCCGTGACTGTCTTACCTATTTCCCACATTATCTCTTGATATTGAACTGGCAAACATAACTCTCTATTTTCTCCTTTAAATCCCAATGCTTTTCTTATCACACCTCTTTCTCTTTCCGTCTATATATATATATATATATATATATATATATATATATATATATATATATATATATATATATATATATGAAGAAAAATTTGGAAAAAACAAACAAAAAATCCTTAAATGCAATTATGTTGTTTAAAATGAATGAAATGTCGACGTCTGACGTTTCGGTTTAATAAACCTTTTTCAAGACAATATTCATTAAAATACAATTCAGTTCAATTTGACAAAGACGATGGACATAAAAACAAGTCTTATCCAAAACAGATAACTGAAAATTTTAAAATGATCAGCTTTCCGTTTAGCATGGCCATGTTGTCGTCACATGGGCGACGCTTTCAAAACGTATTCCTAAAAATTTTGATTATTTTGAATGAAAAAGAAAATGAAAAGAATTCTATTAGGATCTAAAATTTTATGTGTATGCTTGTCGAGCATTAATCTCGCTAAAAAAAGGGGAAATATTAAAGAAACCAGGTCTAGTATTCACCGTGCGTGAGATGGATATTATATATTATATTATTTTTGTTTGTTTTTTCCAAATTTTTCTTCATTCTGTCGGATCTATATCCATTTACATTTGCTTACATATATATATATATATATATATATATGTGTGTGTGTGTGTGTGTGTTGTGTGTGTTTTTGTCTGTGTATCTGTGTATGTTTGTGTGTGTGCACACTAGAGGCTAAAATTTTGGGTCCACCTTCTGGATATAATAATTAGTAAGTTTTTGAGCCTTTAGTTTAATTAATTCCTAGGATGCTGAAATTATTTAACATTTAGCAAAGAGTCTAAATCTTTATATTGTGTCTGACCTAAATTTTTTAGTCCGACAACTCTAACATTAGATAGATAGATTAGGCAAACAGGTCAAATTTTCAGGAAACTTTGGGGATAAAGTATCTGTCTGTCTGTCTATATATATATTGAAGTCAGTTGTCCTTCTCCATCTGTGGCTATAGAACCCAGTTGGAGGGAAAAGCGGATTAATACCTTCCCCATGGGTATTAGCACGTAAGTGAATGTAATGGATTCGACTGGAATTCGAATTCGGCTCTCCGATTCCTCAATCCGAGCTGCTATCCATTACTTACTTACTTACTTACCCTCTCTCTATATATATATATATATATATATATATATATATATAAACTGTTTATTTTTCTTTCACCTGGTTTTCTTTATACTTTTCTCTAACTATCTTATTTATTAACATTCTCTCTGTACACTTTTCTTTTTGTCCTCCTATTCCAGTTCCCTAGTTTTCCTCCACACTTAATATTACTAATTAATTTTCGCGGTCAGAAAGCGGAACTGATTCCAGGTCAGATAATCTTTGGATCAGGTACATATACTACACTCTGATACTAGTTAGAAAATTCTAATGTTCGTACATAAAACCAAACAGTGTCTCAAGTAAAAAAAATACACCCAGGCACAATCCCACAAGACTTACGCAAAATACATAAACTTAATTTCACAAAAATAGAGAGATTCTAAGTAAAGCCTAATTTTAAATGTGAGCTCTAAATTTCGTTCTGTAATTACAACTGAAAATATTTTACCCGGTCTGTTATTCAGTATCTCGTTCTGCTATGACTATATCCACCAAGGCTCCTTAAAATTGTAGATATCGAAGCTGAAGATTCATGAGATATGTCAATGAGCGTAAAATGATTAAGGGCCCTTCCAAAACAATGTAATCGAAAGCTACCATTATATAATGTAAAGAATTAAAACATATGGTTGAAGTTGCTTTTCATTAAAATAATCTTAATAAAGCAGAGGGAAACATTAATCTGGAAAATTACTACCAAATCTCAACAATTTCAATTAAATTTTTAGCTTTTTTCTCCAGATAATAAAATAAAAAAAATAAAAGATTAAATTCGGCATTTTATAATTACTGTATTTGTTTACATTTTGCGAATAGTAACAGTTAACACTGGGGATAAAGTAATAGTAATTCCCCTCATTACACCAGCACTCACATCTCTTTTCTGGCTGATTTTAATAATTTAATTGTCTAGAAGGCTTTCTTTATCAGATTTCTTGCACCTTTCTGCAACGGGCTTCTTGACCATTCCAAAGCACACAAATAATGATAGGAATAAATGTTAAATTAATCTTACGCAATTTTTAATTCCTTGGCAATGTTTAAATATTTTCCCCGTTTTTCATTTTCATGTTAAAATAACGAAATCTGTTAGATTTTCATTTAATTGTTCTGGGTCTATGAGTTAAACTAAGTGGTGAATTTCAAATTAGGGATCGAATTAACTAAAGACTAACTTGTTAATTATTATTTCACAGACTTTGATATTAAATTAGATTATCTTAGTATAGCAGAATTCCACGCTCTTTAGTATTAGTAATGGCTTGTGGAACAGACTTAACTATCACTGCTTCATGACAAAATGTCAAATAACAATTACTAAAATTAATTTAACGCTGTATTAAACACTCAGTGAACATCGAGATCATTGCAATCTGAGAGAATAGTTTTCTGTCTCACTGCGTCAGTTCAACTCAATTGGGCATCATAAATATGAAACATTATGCACTTACCAGGTAATAGATTGCGAGCGTTGTTAAACATTTTTTACAATAATAATAATAATAATTCTTACCAGTGGCAAAGAACCTAAAAAGAATGCAATATGTACCCTAAATATGATTTTCTAAAACTGAGTAATGAACTTGCGAGACGTCTACAAGCACTGATAGCTCTACGGGAGATGTCCATGTGGTGTAAGTAAAGGATTGATATTCTCTTAATGCTTAATACAGATAAATCACCCCAAGAAAATGGTGACATGAAATGACAAGTGAACCTAGGAATTAGTCGCCCTTAGGAGGTATTAACTGTAAAAGGTACATTCTTCACTGAAAATTGCCACTAGGCGAGCGTAAAATTACAGGTCGGGTGACACCAGGATGAGACAAATCTGTAAACGTTAAGACTAGAGGCAATAAAGATATGGCAAGAAAAAAATAGATTACATATATAACAACATATTTTTGTCAGATTTTGAATTTCAGTAAGTGTTAGAAATACGTGCAGTAAGCTGTTTGTGTCTACATTTTAAAAGGCCTATGTTAATGGTCAATAACCAGTATGCAGTTTTTAAGTTCCACTTATACCCGCAGGTGTGTATGTGTGTGCGCACTTACCAAATATCGCGGTGTAAATCGTTTAATTCCTATCAGCCAGATAATGATATAATCTAGGATTCGTTATATTTCTACAAACTTTACTAGACATTTTTTTATGAGTTTAATGCAAAGATGTACAATGCGAGTTCAAATCTCGTT